TTGTGCAATTTGTATTTTTTCTCTATCTGAAAGCGACAGATGCAAGGATATCATTTCAAACTATGCTCACCTCGCTCTGGCTGAGTACAGGATGACGACAAATTTTATTTACCCATAATTGTAAAATATGCTTTCGGTGATCAATGAGATCGTCTTCGTAACGCCCTGAAAAGAAAATATTAGTTAGACGATGACTGCTTCATCGTAAGCTTCACGCTACCATTATAAGTTACATTTCGGAGGTAAAGATGCGAAAATCAAAAAATGACTCAAAATCTTACCTGACACCTGTTTCTCAGGTAACGGAGGAATAGCAATCATTATATATTTTGCTGACATCTGATCATGTAGCCAATCAAAGTGTTTGTATCGCCGGGATACCTGATAACCATTTGGGGTTAGGATTGATATCATGCGAAAATGAAAAATAGACGAACCTGTATTCGACTGAGTGAAGAGGTGAGCGAATAGGCAATGAAACTCTTGAGACCCTTGAGTTTTGTTTCCTTTTTCGGTTTGTCTACCGTACATGTATAGTACTGCTGGATAGGACGCCATTGTACAAGTGGACCACTGATCTAAAGAGAAGGGTAATCTTCTCTATAATTCTTCATCTCAAATTTCATTCGGATGGATAAGAATTTACGGTGTCACTGTCCAAACTTCAAATTAGCCGTGAAAAAACATAAGATTGTCTAGAAAACTTATATTGACATTTTCCCTCAATGGGATTGTAAACGTTGTAAGCGAGACTGCTAATTTTCTGTATAGTGTCAAATTTACAAGAAGACACAATTTTTCTCCATAAAAAGAGACGTTTCCTAAAATGCTGGACTGAAACACTAGAAGCATTTTCATCTAAAAGCAATCAGGCTATGATACTAAAATTGGAATGGATAGATTTACAAATAAATTTTTAGACACGAGGGGCAAAAAGTTATCCTTTATTGAATGTGAGATTCTCCAATGTGGCGAGAAGTATTGATCTTTGAATTGCAAAATCGAGCATCAGTTCAATTTTTTTATTTTTTGCACTTTGGTGTTTCACTTTTCTTGTGAAAAATAATGCATCACTCACAATGATTTCATGCTTTTCGCCTGACTGGCCATTCATTCGTGACTCGCCGAGAATATACGCTTCCATCCCGGATTTGACAAAGTTGGAAAATCTGAAATGTACTACTTAGATTTTGGAACATCATGTGGCATTGCATAATAATTTTAACAACTTTATTGACTTCCCACACCACGATGACTACCTAGCTACCTTATTTCGGGAAAAAGTAGCTGTAATCAGAATTCAGCAAATATTAGGTTGTCCCATAAATCTTTACAT